GCAGAGTCTACGCCTTGGTTTTGAGTATATTACAGGTCTCTAGCCCAGCACTTGGCTGAGAAGACGTGCTTGTATTGCTGACTGAATACACTTGGGAGGCAAGATGTGACAGGTTTGGGAATGTATTTGAAATGGGGACTCTCCTGGAGCTGTCCCGACAGGAGGTCATCATACATAAGCACCTTCCTCCCCTGCCAGGCCCTTAACACCTGATGACCCTCCCACAGCGCCCCTCAGCCAGGACCCACCTGATCCCAGGGCTCTCCCACGTCACATCGCACCATCTGCTGTCACTTCGGTTCTCACTTCGGCCCCCTTGATTGTCCTACTGTGTGGCTCTGCACTCTAGGTCTCAGGGGACAGCTCTCAGGAGATCCCTCAGGGATCCAATGTCAGAATGGTAGATCCTATTGACCTAAAGTTTCATGATGGGACTAAATTTATGAATCAATCACCACATGGAGAAACACAGCTCTGCATGACTGTCATAATGGTTGGTGTTCCTTGAGCAATGAATGTTTAACTCGGTATCATAAAACAAATATATTTTTCTTTGCAATGAGCATCCCTACCAAATTTTGTCCTTTCTCTGATGAGGCTCTAAAAGACCTGACACACAGCAAGAGGAACAGAAGGAAGTGATACTGTGCTATAGTGCAATATATAATGGTGTGATACTTCTAAAAATTTCTATTAGCCAGTTGTGCTAGAGTTACATTAAAAAAAATTGTGTGAGTATTACCCTTTCAATTTCTCATGTTTATATGAAATTCAGAAGATGGTGGTGAATTTCTTCAATTGCTTTCTCACTGTTAATTGAGATGCTCCTGTTTTTTCTCCTCACACTGTTAGTGTAGTGTATTACACTCATGCATTTTCCTGGGCTGAAGCCTTCTTGCATTCCAGGAATCACTCACACTTGTTCATGGTGTGCAATTCTTCTTACACAGATGGATTATGAATGACTAGAATATAAGTACTTTTCTGCTCTTGCTATCTCAGCTCAGGCTTCCTGAGCCCTGGTAGGGTGGCCGGTGATGGCCAGGACACAACACTGAACCTGGTAAGTGTTCTTATTAGGCCCTGATTGTTGATTTACACAGTTGTGACTGTCAGACCTGCACTCACCCATTTCCTGCCTCCGTGTCTCACTCTCCACTTCTTCCTTAAATCCATCCTTCCTCACTCTCAGTGACAGCCTGACAGTGGCAAACTCTCTTAGGTACTTCAATCTGAAAATGATGTTATTTTGCTTTTACTCCTGAGTGATGGCTTAGAAGGAAAAATATATGGACGTTCCTGTGATGTGTCTCTTGGCATCTGAAGATGTCGTTCTGTCATGTGTTCTGCCCTGACTTAGTCCTGCTGCCTGGACTGCTCTTTGCACTCCCTGTCCTCAGCCTTCTCTCCTGTGTGACAAAGTCTTCAATTGTCTTTCACAGTACAGCACAGTGCTTCAGTCATACATGACATACTCGTTTTCATATTCTTTTTCACCACAGTCCCTAGAAGATATTGAATATAGTTCCCTTTTCTCTGCACCCTCTCCAGCATTTATTGTTTGTGGACTTTTGAGATGGCCATTCTGACTGGTGTGGGGTGATACCCCATTGCAGTTTTTTATGTGCACTGTCTGATAATTAGCAATTTTGACCATTGTTCATGTGGGTATTGGCCATTTGTATGTCTTCATTGGAGAACTGCTTGTTTGGGTGTTCAGCCCATTTTGGGAGCGGGTTGTTTGTTTTGTTGTTATTACGTTGTATGCACCATTTGTATCTTCTGGAAATTGAACCTTTGTCATTCGCATTATTTGTGAATATTTTCTCCCATTCTGTAAGTTGTTGTTTTGTTTGGCTTATGGTTCCCTTTGCTGCAGAAAAGCTTGGAAGTTTAATAGGTCCCATTTGTTAACTTTTGCTTTTATTTCTATAGCCTGGCAGACTGCCCTAGGAGAACCTTCCTAAGATTCACGTCACATGAAGTTTTGCCTCTGTTTTCTTCTAAGAGTTTTATAGTGTCTTGTCTTATGTTTAAGCCTTTAAGCATTTTGAGTTTATTTTTATGTATGGTGTGAGGGAGTGTTCTAACTTCACTGATTTACACGCAGCTGTCAAATTATCCCAACACCATCTGCCGAAGAGACTGTCTTTACTCCCTTGTATGTTCTTGCCTCCTTTGTCAAAGATTAATTGATCAAAAGTCTGTGGGTGTATTTCTGGGCTCTCCATTCTGTTCCATTGGTCCGTATGTCTGTTTTGGTGCCAATACCATGCTGTTTTGATTGCTGCAGCTCTGTAGTATTGTCTGAAGTCTGGGAGGGTTATTCCTCCAGCTTCAATCTTTTCTTCAGTATTGCTTTGGCAATTCTAGGTCTTTTGTGATTCCATATAAATTTTAGGATGATTTTCTCTACTTCTGTGAAACATGTCCTGGGTTATGTGACAGGGATCACATTAAATCTGTAGATCACTTTGGGCAGTACGGCCATGTTCACAGTATTCTTTCTTCCAATCCAAGAGCTCGGGGGTGTCCTTCCATTGCTTTAAGGCATCTTTAATTTCCTTATTCAATGTGTTGTAGTTCTCTAAGTCTTTCACTTCCAACTATTTTAATTTGGGGGATGAAATTTTAATTTGGGGGATGAAATTTCATATTATCTTTATTCATTTATGTTTCCAATCGGAACTTTTAGTTCTTTAACCAATTTAGAGGAATTTCTTTTACACTTTTGCCAAATTATTCTATATCGGTCTATTCTATATAGGTCTTGGTGTTCCAATCTCCCCATTCATAGTATCTGCTGACCCGTGTTCATGGTAGATCAGGGCACGTTTGGGTGACAGTGGATCCTTGCTGGTTTTGGGGTTTTGATGTATATATATTTGGGGGGGGCGTGTTAAGGACATTTTGATCTATTGTCATTTTGTTAAGTGTTATCTTGGTTTTTAATCAGACAACAATGTGGAATTTTCTCAAGTGCATCCTCAGACCCTGTGGAGATGAATATACAATATTCTTCTTAAGTATCATTTCCTTCATGTTCCTCCCAACACAAAGGCTTCAGTTACCTCTTCAGTTAAAACAGAATGCCCCAACTCCACACCTCCACCCCTTCCTCTGTGTACTTATACCCATGGCACTTATAATCCAGCAGTGGCTGCCTGAGTCACAGGCTGTCTTCCTCCGTTTGAGCTGCTTTAACAAGTACCTTACACTGGGTGGCATATGAACAATAAAAATTTAATTCTGTCAGTTTTAAATCCTGGGATATCCAGGATCAAACTGCTTGCAAATTCCTGTCAGGTGAGGGTACACGTTCTGGTTCACAGGAGGCCATCTTTCACCGTGTTCTCACCCAGCAGAAGGGGCAAGGGGACCCTCTCAGGTCTCTGTCACAAGGGCATCCATCCCTTTCATGAGGGCCTCTGCCTTCTGACCTAATCAGCTCCCAAAGGCCCCACCTCCTAATGCCTTCGCCTTAGAGGTTCAGCTGCCAGCATATTCATTTTGGGGGGAAAATAAATATTCAGTCCTCAGCACAGACCTAACAAATATTCCCCTCAGAGGAGTCTGTCTTCTAACCCAGAACTCAGACATCAAATATTTCTCAGTGAGTAAAATGTTTTCTAGTCAACGTCTATTAGGGGCAGAATCCACCCACAGACCTCGCTTTATGTGCCTTTGTGTCTGCATCCCTGATCCTGCCTTCTCTCCCATCAAAAGGGGCAAAAATCAGAAAGATGCTCACCTGGCTCCATGGACCAATAACAGGACCCCCCTGCCCCACCACCGCCCCACCGCCCACAGCTGACACATTGGATCACAAACTGGAACCCTGTCCTCCCTTCCTCTTCACTCTGAGGCCTCTCCCTTTCTCTCTCCTGAGCTTGGCCAGGCCACCCAACATCTGGATGTTTGTAGCACAAGGGTGTTTGGACTGTCTGGTCTACATTTCGCCTGGACCAGGAGCTGTCACATCTTTAGCAGTTGAAACCTGCTTTGCTAACAATGAGAAATGCATAAGCATTGAGCAAACAAGATTCTCCTGTGGGTTTTTTTAGTGTAATATTTTATACTTTCTGTACTTGAAAAATAATTCTTGTCCTCCATTTTTTTTTGAAGCATCCTTTCAAAAATAAAATAAATTTAAGAATTCTGGGACGATGTCTATGTTCACGGAAGCCCAGTTTTTTTCTTCCAGAACCTCCACACAAACACAGAGCATATTATATTAAAATCAAAACCCATTTACAACAAGTCTAGGTTACAAGGTATTGCCCCGTGACTGTAAAAGCCAAGTGGGTGAATAGAAGCCATGAGACCCGCCCAATATCTCAAAAGTCTGGGCAAAGTAGACTTAGCAACAGTGTAAGTAAATGCCTGAAGGCCCTGCGCATGCTCAGTACAGTAGCAGCGGGATCCACTTCCCCTACGGCCAAGGAGAGCCCC